CTGAGGCCTTGTCCAGGGAGACCTTGTTGGATTGTGGTGGCTCTGGTGTTGGTCCATCAGTCGCCTCCATTCCAGGCCATCTTGGAATCCTTTTCCCAGCCAATGAGGAGACAGGTCACCAACAGTTGGAGAGAGAATTCTGGAGAGTAGATCTGTAAAAAGGCAGTTGGAGAATAGTAGTACACAAGAGAAGAGAAACAAGGCCAACCTCATTCCACGAGCTGCAAGCGGGCTTCATGGGCCGGAGTAGGATCCTGGCAGCCTTTAATGCTGCAGCCAAAGTGTTTGGTGGGCACATGGGATCCTACAGGCATGGTTTCCCCACACAACCCCTAAGGAACCTGTCGCTGCACGAATACGTGAGCATGCGGCTCCTGAAAGAAGCGGGTGTCTCTGTCCCGAATGGAATGGTGGCCAGAACACCAGGAGACGCCTACAAAGCCGCCCAAAATATCGGTAGCAATGAGCTGGTGGTCAAGGCACAGGTGTTAGCTGGCGGTCGGGGGAAAGGGACCTTCGAAGGAGGCCTCCAAGGTGGAGTGAAGATTGTGAATTCCCCAGAGGAGGCTGAGGCCATGGCTTCCCAGATGATCGGGAAGAAGCTCTTCACCAAACAGACGGGGGAAAGAGGCCGGATCTGCAATGAGGTCTTCATCTGTGAGCGCCGGCACCCCAAGAGAGAGTACTACTTCGCCATTGCGCTGGAGCGCACCTTCCAGGGCCCCGTCCTCATTGGCAGTGCCCAGGGGGGCGTCAATATCGAAGACGTGGCCGCAGAGAACCCCGAGGCCATCGTCAAGGAACCCGTGGACATCGTGGAGGGCATCCGGACAGAGCAGGCTCTGCGCCTGGCCCAGAAAATGGGATTCCCCGCCGACGTGGCAGAAGATGCGGCCCACAACATGGTGAAGCTCTACCAGTTCTTCATCAAATACGACGCCTTGATGGTGGAAATCAACCCCATGGTGGAAGACTCAACGGGGAAAGTGGTCTGCATCGACGCCAAGATCAACCTGGACAGCAACTCGGCCTTCCGGCAGAAGAGCATCTTCCAGCTTCGGGACTGGAGCCAGGAGGACGAGCGGGACCGGGAGGCGGCCAACGCGGAGCTGAACTACATTGCCTTGGACGGGGACATTGGCTGCCTGGTCAACGGGGCCGGCCTGGCCATGGCCACCATGGACATCATCAAGCTCCACGGAGGAACCCCGGCCAACTTCCTCGACGTGGGCGGAGGGGCCACCGCGGAGCAAGTGAAGGAGGCCTTCAAGCTCATCACGTCGGACGCCAGGGTCCAGTCAGTCCTCGTGAACATCTTTGGGGGCATCATGCGATGCGACATCATTGCCCAAGGCATCATCCTGGCCGCCTCGGAGCTGGACCTCAAAGTCCCCATCGTGGTGCGCTTGCAAGGAACGCAAGTGGAGAGCGCCAAAGCCTTGATCGCAAAGAGCGGCCTGAAGATCCTGCCCTGCGACGACCTGGACCAGGCGGCCCAAATGGCCGTCAAGCTCTCCCAGATCATGACCCTGGCCCGGCAAGCCCACCTGGAGGTCAAGTTCAAGCTGCAGAGCTGATTGGTCCCTCAGAACTTGTGGTCCCAGCAACTGTTCCTTGGTTCTTGAAACCATTCTCTAGCATCTTCCCTCACACACACATGTGGAAGCATGTGTTTCAGACCTATAGCCTGTATTCAAAGATGGTCCCTCTTCATCTAAAAGTATGTTATTGTCAATCTGTGTTCTTAGCCACTTAGTCCCCTCAACCTGGAATTTTAATAATCTTGTTTTTAGTAGTTGGAGATATCTCCCTTCTGAATAAAATGTTGGAATTGAATGGAACACTTCCTAGTACCATGTTTGACGTTGTAACTTGTTGGGGCCAAGTTTGGTCCAGATCCATAATTGGGTTGTTGTAGGTTTTTTCGGCTATATGGCCATGGTCTAGAGGCATTCTCTCCTGACGTTTCGCCTGCATCTATGGCAAGCATCCTCAGAGGTAGTGAGGTCTGTTGGAACTAGGAAAAGGGGGTTTATATATCTGTGGAATGACCAGGGTGGGACAAAGAACTCTTGTCTGCTGGAGCTAGGTGGGAATGTTTCAACTGGCCACCTTGATTAGCCTATAATGGCCTGGCAGTGCCTGGAGCAAACTTTTGTTGAGAGGTAATTAGATGGCTCTGCCTGCTTCCTCTCTGTTGCAATTTTAGAGTTTTTTAATGGTGGTAGCCAGATCTTGTTCATATTCATGGTTTCCTCCTTTCTGTTGAAATTGTCCACATGCTTCTTGTGGATTTCAGTGGCTTCTCTGTGTAGC